GGAAAAGAAAGAAGAAAAGAAAGGAAAAGATAAAGAAGGATTGAATAAAGAAAAGGAAAAAGAGAAGAAAAGAAAAGGACAAAGATAAGAAGGATTGATAAAGAAAAGGAAAAGAAAGGACAAAGATAAGAAGGATTAGATAAAGAAAAGGAAAAGAAAGAAGAAAGAAAAGGACAAAGATAAGAAGGATTAATAAAAAAAAGGAAAAAGAAAGAAGAAAAGAAAGGACAAAGATAAGAAGGATTAGATAAAGAAAAGGAAAAGAAAGAAGAAAAGAAAAAGGACAAAAGATAAGAAGGATTGATAAAGGAAAGAAAAGGAAAGAGAGAAGAAAAGAAAGGACAAAGATAAGAAGGATTAGATAAAGAAAAGGAAAAGAAAAGAAGAAAAGAAAGGACAAAAGAAAAGAAGGATTAGATAAAAGAAAAGGAAAAGAGAGAAAAAAAAGAAAGGACAAAAGATAAGAAGGATTGATAAAGAAAAGGAAAAGAGAGAAGAAAAGAAAGGACAAAGATAAGAAGGATTGATAAAGAAAAGGAAAAGAAAGAAGAAAAGAAAGGACAAAGATAAGAAGGATTGATAAAAGAAAAGGAAAAAAAAGAAAAAAAAAAAGGACAAAGATAAGAAGGAAAAGAAAAAGAAAAGAAAAAAAGAAAGAAAGAAAAGAAAAAAAAGATAAGAAGGAAAGATAAGATAAAGAAAAAAAAGAAAGAAGAAAAGAAAGGACAAAAGATAAGAAGGATTGGATAAAGAAAAGAAAAAGAGAAGAAAAGAAAGGACAAAGATAAGAAGGATTGGATAAAGAAAAAGGAAAGAGAGAAGAAAAGAAAGGACAAAAGATAAAGAAGGATTGAAAAAAGAAAAGGAAAAAGAAAAGAAGAAAAGAAAGGAGAAAGAAAAAGATAAGAAGGATTGATAAAGAAAAGGAAAGAGAGATGAAAAGAAAGGAAAAAGATAAGAAGGATTAGATAAAAGAAAAGAAAAAAGAAAGAAGAAAAGAAAGGAGAAAGATAAGAAGGATTGGACAAAGAAAAGGAAAAAAGAAGCTAAAAAAAAGGACAAAAGATAAGAAGGATTAGATAAAGAAAAGGAAAAGAAAGAAGAAAAGAAAGGACAAAGATAAGAAGGATTAGATAAAGAAAAGGAAAAGAGAGAAGAAAAGAAAGGACAAAGATAAGAAGGATTTGATAAAGAAAAGGAAAAGAGAGAAGAAAAGAAAGGACAAAGATAAGAAGGATTAGATAAAGAAAAGGAAAAGAAAGAAGAAAAGAAAGGACAAAAGATAAGAAGGATTGGATAAAAAAAAAAGAAAAGAGAGAAAGAAAAGAAAGGACAAAGATAAGAGAAAGAAAGATAAAGAAAAGGAAAAGAAAAAAGAAAGAAAAGAAAGGACAAAGATAAGAAGGATTAGACAAAGAAAAGGAAAAGAAAAAGAAAGAAGAAAAGAAAGGACAATAATAAAAAGGATTGGAGAGAAAAAAAAATAAAAGAAAAGAAAAAAGAAAGAAAAGGACAAAGATAAGAAGGATTGGATAAAGAAAAGAAAAAAAGAAAAAAAGAAAAGGACAAAGAAAAGAAAAGGATTAGATAAAAGAAAAGGAAAAGAAAAGGAAAAAAAAGAAGAAAAGGACAAAGATAAGAAGGATTAGATAAAGAAAAGGAAAAGAGAAAAGAAAGAAAAGAAAGGACAAAGATAAGAAGGATTGATAGAAAAGAAAGAGGACAAAAATAAGAATTAGATAAAGAAAGGAAAAGAAAGAAGAAAAGAAAGGACAAAGATAAGAAGGATTAGATAAAAGAAAAGGAAAAGAAAGAAGAAAAGAAAGGACAAAGATAAGAAGGATTTGATAAAGAAAAGAAAAGAAAGAAGAAAAGAAAGGACAAAGATAAGAAGGAAAAGATAAAAAAAAAGGAAAAAAGAAAGAAAAAAAGAAAGGACAAAAGATAAGAAAAGGATTAGATAAGAAAAGGAAAAGAAAAAGAAAAGAAAGGACAAAAGAAAGAAAAGGAAAAGAAAGAAAGAAAAAGAAAGGACAAAGATAAGAAGGATTAGATAAAGAAAAAGGAAAAGAAAAAGAAGAGAAAGAAAGGACAAAGATAAGAAGGATTAGATAAAGAAAAAAAGAAAAAGAAAGAAGAAAAGAAAAGGACAAAGATAAGAAGGAGGACAAAGATAAAAAAAAAGAAAAAAGAAAAGGAGAAAAAGAAAGGACAAGGATTAGATAAAAAAAAGGAAAAGAGAAGAAAAGAAAGGACAAAGATAAGAAAGATTGATTGGATAAAGAAAAAGAAAAGAAAGAAAAAGAAAGGAGGAAAAAAGATAAGAAGGACCAGGATAAAGAAAAAGGAAAAGAAAGAAAGAAAAGAAAGGAGGACAAAGATAAGAAGGATTGGATAAAAGAAAAGGAAAAGAGAGAAGATAAAGAAAAGGAAAGAAAAAGAAAAGAAGGGACAAAGATAAGAAGGATAAAAGAAAAGGAAAAGAAAGAAGAAAAGAAAGGACAAAGATAAGAAGGAGATAAAGAAAAGGAAAGAAAGAAGAAAAGAAAGGACAAAGATAAGAAGGATTGGATAAAGAAAAGGAAAAGAAAGAAGAAAAGAAAGGACAAAGATAAGAAGGATTGGATAAAGAAAAGGAAAAGAAAGAAGAAAAGAAAGGACAAAGATAAGAAGGATTAGATAAAGAAAAGGAAAAGAAAGAAGAAAAGAAAGGACAAAGATAAGAAGGATTGATAAAAAAAAAAAAAAAGAAAACAAAGAAGAAAAAAAAGGACAAAGAAAGGACAAAGATAAAAGGATTAGAAAAAAAGGAAGGATTAGAAAAAAGACAAAAAAGGAAAAAGAAAAGGAAAGAAAAGAAAAGAAAGGACAAAGATAAGAAGGATTGATAAAGAAAAGGAAAGAAAGAAGAAAAGAAAGGACAAAGATAAGAAGGATTAGATAAAGAAAAAGGAAAAGAAAGAAGAAAAGAAAGGACAAAGATAAGAAGGATTAGATAAAGAAAAGAAAAAAAAAAGAAGAAAAGAAAGGACAAAGATAAGAAGGATTAGATAAAGAAAAGGAAAAGAAAGAAGAAAAGAAAGGACAAAGATAAGAAGGATTAGATAAAGAAAAGGAAAAGAAAGAAGAAAAAGAAAGGACAAAGATAAGAAAGATTGGATAAAGAAGAAAAAAAGGAAAAGAAAGAAGAAAAAGAAAGGACAAAGATAAGAAAGGATTGGATAAAAGAAAAGAAGGAAAAGAAAGAAGAAAAAAAGAAAAGGACAAAGATAAGAAGGATTAGATAAAGAAAAGGAAAAAAAGAGAAGAAAAGAAAGGACAAAGATAAGAAGGATTGGATAAAGAAAAGGAAAGAGAAGAAGAAAAGAAAGGACAAAGATAAGAAGGATTAGATAAAGAAAAGAAAAAGAGAAGAAAAGAAAAGGACAAAAGATAAGAAGGGATAAATAAAAAGGAAAAAAAGAAAAAAAGGAAAAAAAGAAGAAAAAAAAGGAGGAAAAAGAGAAAGAAGGACAAAGATAAAAGATTAGAAAAGTTTGAAAGAAGAAAAAAGAAAGGACAAAAGATAAGAAGGATTAGGACAAAGAAAAGGAAAAGAAAGAAGAAAAAAAGGACAAAGATAAGAAGGATTGGATAAAGAAAAGGAAAAGAAAGAAGAAAAAAAGGACAAAAGATAAGAAGGATGGATAAAGAAAAGGAATTGATAAAGAAAAAAAGACAAAGAGAAAGATAAAAGAAAAGAAAAAGAAGAAAAGAAAGACAAAGATAAGAAGGATTGATAAAGAAAAAAGAAAAAGGAAAAAAGAAAAGAAGAAAAGAAAGGAAAGAGAAGAAAAGAAGGATAAGATAAAGAAAAGGAAAAGAAAGAAGAAAGAAAAAGAAAGAAAAGACAAAGATAAGAAGGATTGATAAAAAGAAAAGGAAAAAAGAAGAAAAGAAAGGACAAAAGATAAGAAGGATTAGATAAAGAAAAGGAAAAGAAAGAAGAAAAGAAAGGACAAAGATAAGAAGGATTGGATAAAGAAAAGGAAAAAGAAAGAAAAGGAGGACAAAGATAAGAAGGATTGAGAAAAAAGAAAAGGAAAAGGGAGAAGAAAAGAAAGGACAAAGATAAGAAGGATTAGATAAAGAAAAAGGAAAAGAAAGAAGAAAAGAAAGGACAAAGATAAGAAGGATTAGATAAAGAAAAGGAAAAGAAAGAAGAAAAAAAAAGGACAAAGATAAGAAGGATTGGATAAAGATGAAAAGAAAAGGAAAAGATAAAAAGATAAAGAAAAGGACAAAGAAAAGAAAGGATTGGATAAAAGAAAAGGAAAAGAAAAAAAGAAGAAAAGAAAGGACAAAGATAAGAAGGATTAGATAAAGAAAAGGAAAAAAAAGAAGAAAAAGAAAGGACAAAGATAAGAAGGATTGGATAAAAGAAAAGGAAAAGAAAGAAGAAAAAGAAAGGACAAAGATAAGAAGGATTGGATAAAGAAAAGGAAAAGAAAAAGAAAAGAAAGGACAAAAGATAAGAAGGATTGGATAAAGAAAAGATAAAAGAAAAAAGGAAAGAAGATAAAAGGAAAGGAGAAAAGAAAAGAAGGATTAAAGAAAAAGGAAAAGAAAAGAAGGATTGAAAAAGAAAAGAAAAAAAGAAAAGAAAGGACAAAGATAAGAAGGATTAGATAAAGAAAAGGAAAAGAAAAAGAAAAGAAAGGACAAAGATAAGAAGGATTGATAAAGAAAAGGAAAAGAAAGAAGAAAAGAAAGGACAAAATAAGAAGGATTGGATAAAGAAAAGGAAAAAAAAAGAAGAAAAGAAAGGACAAAGATAAGAAGGATTAGATAAAGCAAAAAAGGAAAAGAAAAGAAAAAAGAAAAGAAAGGACATTGATAAGAAAGGATTGGATAAAGAAAAAGGAAAAAGAAAGGAAGAAAAGAAAGGAAAAAAAGATAAAAAGGATTGGATAAAAGAAAAGGAAAAGAAAGAAGAAAAGAAAGGACAAAGATAAGAAGGATTAGAAAGGAAAAGAAAGAAGAAAAGAAAAAAGGACAAAGAAAGAAGGAAGAAAAGGAAAAAAAGAAAAAAAGACAAGATAAGAAGGATTGGATAAAGAAAAGGAAAAAGAAGAAAAAAGAAAGGACAAAGATAAGAAGGATTGGATAAAAGAAAAGGGAAAAGAGAGAAGAAAAGAAAGGACAAAGATAAGAAGGATTGGATAAAAGAAAAGAAAAGAGAGAAAAAAAAAAAGGACAAAGATAAGAAGGATTGGATAAAGAAAAGGAAAAGAGAGAAGAAAAGAAAGGACAAAGATAAGAAGGATTGGATAAAGAAAAGGAAAAGAGAGAAGAAAAGAAAGGACAAAGATAAGAAGGATTGGATAAAGAAAAGGAAAAGAAAGAAGAAAAGAAAGGACAAAGATAAGAAGGATTGGATAAAGAAAAGGAAAAGAAAGAAGAAAAGAAAGGACAAAGATAAGAAGGATTGGATAAAGAAAAGGAAAAGAAAAAAGAAAAGAAAGGATAAAAAAATGAAAAAGGATTAGATAAAAAAAGAAAACAAAAAAAGAAAGAAGAAAAGAAAAGGACAAAGAGAAGAAGGATTGGATAAAAGAAAAAAAAAAGAGAAGAAAAAAGAAAGGACAAAGATAAGAAGGATTGGATAAAGAAAAGGAAAAGGGAGAAGAAAAGAAAGGACAAAGATAAGAAGGATTAGATAAAGAAAAGGAAAAGAGAGAAGAAAAGAAATGACAAAGATAAGAAGGATTAGATAAAGAAAAGGAAAAGAAAGAAGAAAAGAAAGGACAATGATAAGAAGGATTGGATAAAGAAAAGGAAAAGAAAGAAGAAAAGAAAGGACAAAGATAAGAACGATTAGATAAAGAAAAGGAAAAGAAAGAAGAAAAGAAAGGACAAAGATAAGAAGGATTGGATAAAGAAAAGGAAAAGAGAGAAGAAAAGAAAGGACAAAGATAAGAAGGATTGGATAAAGAAAAGGAAAAGAGAGAAGAAAAGAAAGGACAAAGATAAGAAGAATTAGATAAAGAAAAGGAAAAGAAAGAAGAAAAGAAATGACAAAGATAAGAAGGGCTGGATAAAGAAAAGGAAAAGAAAGACGAAAAGAAAGGACAAAGATTAGAAGGATTGGATAAAGAAAAGGAAAAGAATGAAGAAACGAAAAGACAAAGATAAGAAGGACTGGATAAAGAAAAGCAAAAGAAATTAGAAAGGCAAGTCAAATATAACGTGGACAGAATAAAGAAAAGGAAAAGAAAGAAGAAAAGAAAAAGACAAAGATAAGAAGGATTGGATAAAGGAAAGGAAAAGAAAAAGAAAGGAAAGGAGAAAGATAAGGAGGACTGGATGAAGAAAAAAAAGAAAGTAAAAAAGAAAAGACCAAATAAGAAGGATTGGTTAAAGAAAAGGAAAAAAAAGGCGGAAAAAAAAGGAAAAAGATAAGAAGGATTGTAGAAAGAAAAGAAAAAAGAAGAAAAGAAAGAGAGAATGGGAGAAAGGTTTATTCTTTCTTTTCCGTTTACCTCACTTATTAGAATATAAGAAGTTCACTTGAAGAGAACACGAGGAATGATAGCGGTTAATACGAGTTTTGAAGACATTAAGAATGTTGGAACCCGGAATGCTTTCTTTCAAGATTTTCTCGAAGCCGCCATTCCTTGAATCTTTCTTCATATGATCGGAATATGGCGGTATCTGTGATGGTTTGTTTTGTTTGGTTTACAGCATATCAACCCAAAAGATCATTTTACGCAGAAATTTAAAGATTTGTCTAAATAAAGCTTAATATTTAAACAGCCAAGAAAAAGTTTAAACTAATTATATTTTGAACGCATTTTTTATACATTCAGTTACAGATAAATTGCATTGTTGGTCATTTTGTTTTAAAAATGTTTTGTTCATAATTGTATTATAAATTATAAAAATATTAAAAAAGATTATAAATTATATAAATATGTTTTGTTCATAATTTTATTATAAATTATAAAAATATTAAAAAGATTATAAATTATATAAATATGTTTTGTTCATAATTTTATTATAAATTATAAAAATATTAAAAAAGATTATAAATTATATAAATATGTTTTTGTTCATAATTGTATTATAAATTATAAAAATATTAAAAAAAGATTATAAATTATATAAATATGTTTTTGTTCTATAATTTTTATTATAAATTATAAAATATTAAAAGATTATAAATTATATAAATATGTTTTGTTCATAATTTTATTATAAATTATAAAATATTAAAAAGATTATAAATTATATAAATATGTTTTGTCTATAATTGTATTATAAATTATAAAAAATATTAAAAAAGATTATAAATTATATAAATATGTTTTGTTCATAATTTTATTATAAATTATAAAAATATTAAAAAAAGATTATAAATTATATAAATATGTTTTGTTCATAATTTTATTATAAATTATAAAAATATTAAAAAAAAAGATTATAAATTATATAAATATGTTTTGTTCATAATTGTATTATAAATTATAAAAATATTAAAAAGATTATAAATTATATAAATATGTTTTGTTCATAATTTTATTATAAATTATAAAAATATTAAAAAAAGATTATAAATTATATAAATATGTTTTGTTCATAATTGTATTATAAATTATAAAAATATTAAAAAGATTATAAATTATATAAATATTTTTTGTTCATAATTTTATTATAAATTATAAAAATATTAAAAAGATTATAAATTATATAAATATGTTTTGTTCATAATTTTATTATAAATTATAAAAATTAAAAGTTTATAAATTATATAAATATTTATTGTTCATAATTTTATTATAAATTATAAAAATATTAAAAGTTTTATAAATTATATATGTTTTGTTCATAATTTTATTATAAATTATAAAAAATATTAAATTTTATAAATTATATAAATATGTATTGTTCATAATTTTATTATAAATTATAAATATATTAAAAAGTTTATAAATTATATAAATATGTATTGTTCATAATTTTATTATAAATTATAAAAATATTAAAAAGTTTATAAATTATATAAATATGTATTGTTCATAATTTATTATAAATTATAAAAATGTTAAAAGTTTATAAATTATATAAATATTTTTGTTCATAATTTTATTTTAAATTATAAAAATGTTAAAAGTTTATAAATTATATAAATATGTTATGTTCATAATTTTATTATAAATTATAAAAATATTAAAAAGTTTATAAATTATATAAATATTTATTGTTCATAATTTTATTATAAATTATAAAAATATTAAAAAGTTTATAAATTATATGAATATATATTGTTCATAATTTTATTATAAATTATAAAAAATATTAAAAAATATTACAAATTATATAAATATGTATTGTTCATAATTTTTTAATGTATTCCTGGTATTTTTTACTCTAAAAATATTTTTATACATTCAAATTTTTTTTTTTTATAACCCGGGTCCAAGAAAGATGCTACCACCTCGAGACAGGTGGATATGGCAACGGCAAAAATTAAATTGTATCTTCCCACTCCTCAAAGCCTTCAATCTCCCGATCAAAGGCCTTGCTACCGGTTGATTCGTTAGTGTTCACGGCATGGTGGGTCTTAGCTGTGAATGCCAGATCTAATGATGATTTTATTTTTATTCATCCAGAGAAATGCTTGTGTTATTTTTTTTCTCACTAAACTTGCTTATAAAATTGATATTATTTTTGCTTGGTTAATCCGGCAGGCACGGAAAAATGAAAAACACAAATGGGTAAATGAAAAGATAGAAAATTTAACCGACAGCTAGAGAATATATCGCAGAAGGAAAATCGTCGACATGGGTACGCAGAGAACATCTAAAAAGTGAAACGTAATGGCTCATCATCGTAGCATAAATGAAGCAAAGACTGAAAATTCCTCAAAAAACAAACTAGTTTCATTCCATCATCGCTGATCGCGATCACAAAATACCACCAGTCACATTAAATCGATGTTCCCTTAGGGTGGCCACGTTCCTTGAGCGACGATTGGGCCTCGAGTGGAACTCGTAGATACGGTTCAGTTCCTTGTAACGTTCTAGTAAGTACCGGATTCCTTATGCTGCTTTCTAACTTTACTTGAACCAGATCATGCATCTGTCATATTTGGGCAAGAGCTATTCAGTCTCGATAGAGTCCAAAATCGTTTCCTCGTCTTTGTGGACGGGGAGAAATTATTCCCCCCCCCCGGCAATACCTCTCACAGACACAATTTCTCAAACCTCCCACTACTCTAGTGCTACTTTCATGGAAAGTGCTCAGACGAACTAATTTCCTAGTTCCACCAGTACTAACCCCCTCGTCTAGGGCTAGCCATACTACGCGCATTGTGGCGAACCACCCTCATCCCCTCCGTATTCCATTGGTAAGAAGTAAATTCCACGCGAGAAACTCCTTCCCGCGAACAATTGCTCTGTACAACAGACTCTCCAGAGGATGTTTGCTGATCACTACAATCTTAACCAGTTCAAGTTCAAGTTAACCGTTATCTTCCGCACATATCCGCATATTCTGAGGCACTTATTCTACCTCGAGTGGCTCCCGGGCTTTTTATAGGGGAAACATCATTGTAAAAAAAAAAAAAAATCAGATGTCGTTTGTGCGTGGACAGACGAATCAGTAAATCACATATTCAGTGAATGTAAAAAACCAGCGCGAAAAGAATACGAAAAAACACACGACAGGGTGGGAGAAGCCATAAGCTGGGAATTGCGCAAACGACTTTGTTTTTTTTTTTATTTATTATTATTTTTTTATTCATTTGACCATTAAGTAAATATAACAAACTTGATTGGAAGTTGATTCGGTTCTCTGATTCTTCATCCCGAGCCGTTATCCATTAAACCAACAGTACATCCAAGCTTACAGCGTCTGGTATCACAAGCGGTAACCCATCTAGATACTGACCAGGCACGACGTTGTTTAACTTCGGTGTTCATACAAAGAACCAAATGCTTGGTAGGACTATTTTGTAAGCAACATCGCTTTGTAAGTAACAGTTTATTTGTACACGTGTAGTAGGTTAAATAGTACAATCGTTTATGTAAAATCCTTCTTTTTTTTTTGTCGTTGTCTTTAATCATTTCACCGCCATCCTCTTTTACTGTTTCCCCGATAGAGTTATCGGCCTTGATTTGTGATCTTACGGAATCGGAATTCCCTGTGTCCCGATTAATTCTTACCGGGATTCCTGACTAGCAAGAAAGTTTTTCAACCATTATTTAAAATGAGCACAGATTCTATAAAGACGTTGTTATTTTGGTAATCAGTCAAAAAAAATTAAGGAGCTAAGACAATGATTTCTTTATGAATTTCCAATTAAAACGTAAGTTTTTTTTTCATCTGTTCACTTTTTGTCATGTGTGTCCTAGTAAATAATAAAACCTGAGTTAATGAAGACACATTTGAGAAGATAGATGCACGGTCAAATACGTTCTGAATTTGACAGTCTTTCAATACTTGTACTGGTGGGAAAAGAGTAAGAAAATTTTAAAGAAAGAAAGAGTTAAGAAGAAACAAAAAGAAAGAAAGAAAGAGAGAAAGAAAAAAAGAAGTTAAGTCAAGGGCTGAATGAATATTTAACAAATCAAAAGCAAAAACAAAAATAAAACAATGATAAAATAACCGCAAAAGAATGCTTTTAAACACCCTCCATAAAAAATAGAGAATAGAATATAAAGAAAGAAAGAAAGAAAGAAAGAAAGAAAGAAAGAATATGGCGATTACAAAATAATTGAAAAAAAAGGAAAAAGAAAAAGGAGAGAAAGAAAGACCGGCGATACGCAGATAGGTAAAAAGAAAAAAAAGAAGAAAGAATGGCGATTACAGGATAAGTCAAAAGAAAGAAAGAAAGAAAGAAAGAAAGAAAGAAAGAAAGAAAGAAAGAAAGCAAAAAAGAAAGAAAGAAAGAAAATATAGCGATTACAGGAAAGTTAAATCAAGGATTGAAAGAATATTTTACAAATCAAAAACAAAAATAAAACAATAATAAAATAACCGCAAAGAATGCTTTTAAATACCCTCCATAAAAAATAGAGAAAAAATAGAAAGAAAGAAAGAAAGAAAGAAAGAAAGAAAGAAAAGGTGATTACAGAATAGCTGAAAAGAAAGGAAAAAGAGAAAGGACTGGCCATATGCAGATAGGTAAAAAGAAAAAAAGAAAGAAGGGCGATTACAGAATAAGTCAAAAGAAAGAATGAAAGAAAGAAAGAAAGAAAAAAAAAGAAAATATAGCGATTACAGGATAGATCAAAAGATATAAAAAAAGAAAGACTGGCGATACCCAGATAGGTTAAAAGAAAAAAAAAAGAACGAAAGAAAGAATGTAATGGCGATTACAGGATAAGTCAAAAGAAGGAAGAAAAAAAAATGAAAGACTTATTATATCCAGATAGGTAAAAAGAAAATAAATAAATGAATAAAGACTGGCGATACGCAGATAGGTGAAAAGAAAGAAAGAAAGAAAGAAAGAAAGAAAGAAAGAAAGAAAGAAAGAAAGAAAGAAAGAAAGAAAGATAGAAAGAAAGAATGTGTGGAGATTACAGGATAAGTCAAAATAAAAAAAAATAGAAAATGAAAAAATTGCTATATCCAGAGAGGGGAAAGTAAAAGAAAGAAAGAAAGAAAGAAAGAAAGAAAGAAAGAAAGAAAGAAAGAAAGACTGACGATACACAGATAGGGGAAAAGAAAGAAAAAAAGAACGAAAGAAAGTATGGCGATTACAGGATAAGGCAAAATAAAAGAAAAATAAAGAAAATGAAAAAATTGCTATATCCAGATAGGTGAAAGTAAAATAAATAAATAAATTAATAAATAAATAAATAAAGAAAGAAAGAAAGAAAGAAAGAAAGAAAGAAAGAAAGAAAGGAATACTGACTGGCGATACCCGGATAGGTGAAAAGAAAGAAAGAAAGAAAGAAAGAAAAAACACTGATTTCTTTTTGGTTTTTAATGTCAATCATGGTTGTATTTATTAGTCATTCTCATTTTTTTGCTTTCAACACAATATATAGGCCTTTTTTTTTCTGAAGACAAAAAAATCGCTATCACTTTTCGGACCAGTATATTTTTCAAACTCATGCAAGGCAATAAAGCCACTAAGACACAAGGGGTTACTGGATGTAAAAGAATAGAAAACATTACTAAGGAGCGAGCACAGTAGAAGTATAATCAGAAAGACAGTAGATATCGATTGACATGACATTTATAATGTTTAATATCAAAGTTAACGGGAAAGAGTTCGACAAGTGAGACATGTAACTAATAGCATAGAAGTTACGGTTACATCTAGCCCATTCAACTGTAAAATGATGAGACCTAGCCGCCTATCTAGTAATGCGCTTAAATTCATTAAATCTAGACATCATAGAGAAGAGTGATATTTATTTGTAATTATATACAAAATGTAGCATAAGTCCAAAAAGAGGGAAAATACGGTCTTTTTCTGTCTTAACATTAAACTTAGCTAGCCACAAACATTGACTCACACATACCACAATATTCCAAACACAAAAACAACGCATTTTACTTACCTTTCTGACTGCATCCACCATAATACCACATTGTCTCTATGAAAGTCATAACTAGTTTCCATATGTACAATTCATTTTCTGTGGGAAGGAGAGGAATAAAATAACAATTTTAAAATCTAAACCACAATGAATATTTACAAAAATGAACAAAACTCTATACAAGAATCTATAGAAAATAGTTTTAGTAATAACCATATTCTTAAATGTGGCAGGAACATCAAAATCAATGCGGGACTATAATAATATAAAACAAGCATTCATCCCAAGTGCTCACTCAAAAACACGTTCATTGAAACATAACAAATACACACCCGAAACGAAAGGCGGCCCGCATCCACCAGAGAACTGACATCACTGATCACTTAATGAGGGCGGGAGGGAGGGGAATTAAACCAAAGAAAATGGGGACAGAAATAAAAGGGGTCAATGCACATACATCCCCCTAGACAAGTTAACTGGAATGAAGATACGAAGATACGAAAACAACCCTAAACTAGCCTAAATTCGGGTGGGATTGCCTAAGTTCAATACAGGGAGAACAATATCCTGATGTCTAACCATAACTCATCGGAACAATCACTATGAAAACATTTATAGAAAAGGCACAATGAGACTGGCGCAAAGATGCCAGATTAACACTAATAATACTGCTGATTTTCTTTGAATTTTATCAAGAATGCCTGAATATCGCAGGAGGACTGAGCCATATCTAGCAGCCATATTCTTCGTGTGGACGAATAGTTGACTTAAAGGTATGTTAGACATTTTTGGTTGTTATACTGAAAACGTTTTTTTCTGTTGTTTTACCTTCTGCAAATCATTTAATAAGAATAACTCCTCGTGTCAAAACACTTCCGAGGAAAGATAATCCGCTTGTAAACGTTCTTTTCCTAAAACAGAATAGAATAATGCTTTATCTGATGAGTCAGGCTGAATATAACATGAATCTATTCTCAGTTAATTGCTTAATGTCTTGGAGAGTTCCACGTTTTCTCACAAGAGGCCACTGTTCGAGCGCAGGTATTTCGGATGCAGATTTTCAAGGAAGAGCGTTCACATTTAAAACAAGCCACACTCAATATTCCTGTCTAAACTGTCGTTTCGGGTATTGAACAGGGATTTATTATTGGCTCTGTATGCACATGCACAGGTCTATACACACGACAACACACGCATACGACAAGAAACACACACACACATACACAGACACACACCAACGCAACCAAATACACGGTAGCATGTATGCATATTGTCGCATTCCATGCATTCAAACTATAGCAGTCACCTTTTCATGTTCCCGCCATTAACAGTCAGTTTAGTGATTAATCATTGTTTTCCCCATTCATCGTGACAGCCGCCATATTCACAATATGGCGGTGCAGATTTAGTGCAGGAGGAGAAGACTTAAAAAGAAAAAAAAGAAGAAAGTGGTTTTGGAGGAGGTGTAAAAGAACGGAGACAAAGAAGAGAAAGAGCTAAAGAGGAAGGGAGAAATGGAAATCGTTCTATATTAAAGAAGAGGAAGTAAAAGAACGTTTTAAAACAAAAATGACAGAAAAGTGTTCTTTTTTTTTGCCTGGGGAGTAAAGGCGGGCTCTTGCAAAATGTCGATGTGACACAGATATTTTATTGCAGATGTTTTTGTTTTAGTTTTTTTTTTGTTTTTTTGTTTTTGCTGTTTATTCGCAAAAAGCAATGATGATGGAAGAAAACAAAAAAAAATCGGAAAAGAAACAAAATGTTTCAAATCAAACAAGAAAAAAACAAATTAACATAAATGAAGCCCCAATAAAGCCGATAGAAGAAATAAAAATAAAGGCCTTCTTTGTCGACAAAAAAAAATGGCGGACGCAGGAAAAAAATATAATTAAATATCCAACGGACTGAGGAGAAGCAAGGTAATACTGGGCAGAACAAGGTTAATGAAAGTGATATAGAAAGATGCGATCATATAGAACAGAGTGACCATTAGCAATAGCCACAACAACAACAGTAATATGAAAAAAAAAGGATTCAGAAAAACAATAGCAGCCGAATCATGTACGCAAATATTAATAACAACAGTAATATTAACCGTTTCCCTGTAAGGAAACATTTGGCATTGATTGATCGAGCATCCATTGCTGCTTTTGGCTGAAGTTTATAAAATCTTCCTCTTAAAACAATTTTTCATGAAAATAAGTTTCTCAAGTCCAATAGCTGTTATCGCTCTTTCCAGTATTGATGGGGGCTTTCCTTCCTAAACTTTTATTCGAAGTAATGTCTACAACCTTTTCTCTAAGACAAAACATCGTAGGCCTTTCGCTTACTCTATCGCATGGCAGCAAGGCCTCTGAATGGGGAAACTGAAGGTTTTGAGGAGCGTGGAATCTCACGTTAAAAAATAGGACAGGGCATTAAAAACCTGGCGACATGTAATTATAAAAACTATTTTTATCAACTTACTCTTCAGAAATTAATCGGGGTATTTCGTTTTTGTAATCTTTTTTTTCTTTTCTGCACCGTAACAACTCGTTGAACTGACAGTAAGTATGAATAACAAGTTTTTATAAAAAAAAAGGTGGTGTTTCATTAAGAGGGATTATATATATAAGGGTGTTTCATTAAAACGGATCGAAGTCAGTAGTATATAAATCAGTGTTATTGGTGAAAATTTATTTATTTCTCTATTGGATCATGTTATTTAAGTCATGGTAATTATGTGTGAAAAATAATATCGCCCAAATGTCCACCAAATCTGAAAGAAAAAGAAAAAAATCGTTAGACCCTTAAACTTAATTCACATTTAAAATCGGTCCAAGTTATTGGGACGCACTTTACATATATATATATATATATATATATATATATATATATATCTTGTATCTAGCATGGAACAGACTGTCGCCTCTAAGTGTTGACTTCTATGTTCACTTTTATATTTACACACGCTCTATCTCTGATAGTGAGCACTTTATCCCATAAATATAGCACATCTTAAGACTATATTTCTTCATATTTTTTCTTTTCTCAATCATTTTGTAGTTTTTAAACTTAATAGTGATTAAATTTGAATTTTAAAATTGCCAGTTTTTAATTTTAATATTAAATTTTATCATATAATTTTAGAATTATTGGTTAGTATAAATTATTTTTAATATTACACGTATTTTAAAGATCTGAATAGCTATTATAACATGATTTCGTTGTCAAGCTTTTGAATCTTTCTATACTTAGTTTTTGATTGGTTATTCTAGCTTTTGTAACAATGTTTCCCCCTAGTGTAGGATCGTTAATTAATTTGAAACTTTTAAAACCATTTATTTTAACTTCAACATCATCCTTGATAAGACACCGAGGTGTTGAAACAAAATGGCTATTTTTGTAGTGATTTTATAACATACTTATGTTATAATTTTTTTATAAATAATAATTATATATATATATATATATATATATGTGTGTGTGTGTGTGTGTGTGTGTGGTGTATTATATATTTAATATATATGGCATATTGGAACAGTCTTTATAATCCCGAATACATTTGCAAAAATATCAGCTAATAGCGATGCCTTGTTGTCGGAGATTACTTTATGAACAAGGACCGAAGATTCCGACTAAAAGTGTTATCTATATGTCCATTATTTACATTATTCCGACTATTGTCCTCATCTTTGTCGCCATATTTATTACAACGTTTCAGCCGTTGTACGCTTCGGCCTTCTTCAGGTGGTTGGTATGTCGGACTTAACACTTTATTTCGCTCACTGGGGTAGACTGTTCTAGTTCACCGTGCCGTGTTTAATAGATGTCAGTTATCAGTTATCTCCTGCGAAATTCCACTCTCCAAGTTCTCCACTGCCTTAACCGGGTATTGAACTCACACTCTTTGGGTCCTGTCACTGGATATCACTAACTGACATCCATTAAACCAGTGAGCGAAATAAAGGGTTAAGTTCGACATTCCAACCACCTGAAGAAGGCCGAAACGTTGTAATAAATATGGCGACAAAGATGAGCACAATAGTCCGAATAATGTAAATAAAGTTATCTATATGATTTAAAAATTCTTCAGTTCTTTCCAGCAACCATTTAGAAATGTGCAATAATCTCCTAACCGACGAGACAGGATGTATGGATAATATAATTGATAGACAGGAGGAAGCTAATAATCTTTTTACTATTACACATTCATGATAAAAATTACTCATAATGACCAGAAAAGAGCGTAAGAACACACAAAAAAATAGGGGAAAATATATCTTGAATAATCTCCCTTACAATTAGATTCGTGTGTGCGATAAAATTTTGTTAAAATTGAAAATATAATAAAAAAAAAAAATATAGACACAAAAACATTCTCGGTGGAGTAATGGATAGCGGCTCGGATTGATGAATCGGAGAACCAAGTTCGAATTCCAGTCATATCCATTACATTCACCTACGTGCTAACACCCTTGGGGAAGGTATGAATCCTCTTCTTCTCACCCCCCAGATATGGGTAAATAACAGAATAGACAGGGTTCTATAGCCTTGGATAACAACTGGTCTAGCGTAAAAAGAAATGGTAACGGACTGCAGGAAAAAAAAATCTGCCTCGTCAGTCATGTATCGAAAGATAAATGATCGCCCTAAGCATGTATCACGGAGAGCATCTAACTGTAATTCACTTACGTGCTAATAATCTTGGGAAAGGTAAGAATCCTTTTCTTCTCACACGCGCAGGATAGCGGGATAGACAGGGTTCTATAACCTTGGATGGCAGCTGGTCTAGCGCAGAAAGAAATGACAACCGACTGCGGGAAATAAATCTGCCTCGTCAGTCATGTATCGAAATATATATGATCGACTAAGCGTGTATCACGCATGGCATATAACTGACGGAAATTCACTTACGTTCTCATACACTTGGGAAAGGTAAGAATCCTTTTTTTTTTCACCCCACCCCAGCTATGGCTAAAGAGCAGGATAGATAGGGTTCTATAATCTTGAATGGCAACTGGTCTACTGCAGAAAGACATGGCAACCCACTGCTGGGAATAATGTATCGAAAGATACATGATCGCCTAAGTGTGTATCACACCTGGCATATAACTGACTGAAATTTAATATTATTAAATCTCATTTACATGGACAGTTTGCATAATTGCATATAGTTGACAGAAGATTAATATATCGAACTTCCATCTAGTTTTTCTCATATTATATCTTAATTAATTTGTTTTGTTATTATATATCACTTTTGCTATTATATATCCCTTTTATTATGAATAAAAAAATGGAAATATATACTCATTTAAATATAGAGCCCACTGGTGAATATTACGCACCAAGAAACTTCGGAGTCGGGTATACAACAACTAAAAAGGATTTGATATTTACAGTGAATTAAATTTTTTAATTATATATATATATATATATATATATATATATATATATATATATATATATGTCCATCTGTCGAATTGTCTATAAGAAATACTGACAGCTATCTACAGCTGGTCAGGACGGTAGGAAATGACATTTGCTCCAGAGTTATTGAAATTTGCTGTCGGCTAATTCGGTCACCCTGATTGACGGGGATATGCGAAGACAGTGACATTTCATTTCCTTCAGGCGCATGCGCCGATGCACATCCTTCCCACTTCGTCCGATATTCCACTATTATTTACAATGCACACAATGGCTATCTGTTCTTGTCATTTGTAGTTTATACACACACACACACACACACATATATATATATATATATATATATATATATATATATATATATATACTTTCCCTGACTATCCGTTTTAGATGAAACCTATGGGTTGTCTGGCTCACTAAATTATATCTAGGTCTGCTCTACAGTTGTATTGAGCTCTTTTTGTTAGTTAGTTGTTTACTCGTATCAGGGTTTTCTTTGGGCTTCAAACCTGCATCTGTGCGATTTTTTGTCGGCAGAAGTTCATGTTTGTAGCTCTTTCTTTAAAACCTTTTTTTCCCTCAGAAATTGATTTGATTAATAAATCAAAAATTCGAGGTTTTTTCAGGTCTAGTTATCTATCTATCTATCTATCTATATATATATATATATATATATATATATATATATATCTTTGTAACCCGGATATAAAGAGACCCGGATATAAGAAAACCTGGATATAAGAGAGATTTTCTCTGGTCCCAAATTAGAGCCTGTGTTGTATATAAAATAGACCAAACTCGGATATAAGAAACCCGGATATAAGAGACTTCTTCTCCGGTCCGTACAACTCTCTTACATCCGGGTTACACTATAACAAATAGAAATGCTAACCCGGATATCTCGGATATAAAGAAACCTGGATATAAAGAGATTTTCTCTGGTCCCAAATTAGAGCCTGTGTTAATGTATATAAAATAGATTCCAAACTCGGATATAAAGAAACCCGGATATAAACTTCTTCTCCGGTCCGGACAACTCTCTTACATCCGGGAGTTTTTACTTGGATATAAGAACCGGATATAAGAGAAACCTGGATATAAGAGATTTTTCTCTGGTCCCAAATTAGAGCCTGTGTTAATGTATATAAAATAGACCAAACTCGGATATAAGAGAACCCGGATATAAGAGACTTCTTCTCGGTCGGACAACTCTTCACATAGGTTATATATAACAAATAGAGTGTAACCCGGATATAAAAGAACCGGATATAAGAGAAACCTGGATATAAGAGAGATTTTCTCTGGTCCCAAATAGAGCCTGTGTTAATGTATATAAAATAGACCAAACTCGGATATAAGAAACCCGGATATAAGAACTTCTTCTCCCGGTCGGAGAAACCTGGATATAAGATATAAGAGAAACCTGGATATAAGAGATTTTCTCTGGTCCCCAAATTAGAGCCTGTGTTAATGTATATAAAATAGACCAAACTCAAACCCGGATATAAGACTTCTTCTCCGGTCGGACAACTCTCTTACATCCGGGTTACACTATAACAAATAGAGTGTAACCCGGATATAAAGACCAGATGAAGAAACCTGGATATAAGAGAGATTTTCTCTGGTCCCAAATTAGAGCCTGTGTTAATGTATAATAAAAATAGACCAAACCCGGATATAAGAGAAACCCGGATATAAGAGACTTCTTCTCCGGTCCCGACAACTCTCTTACATCCGGGTTACACTGTATATGCACGCATGTTTCATTAAAGATGACTGACCAGGTACTGTGATTAAGCTTTTTATTTAATTTTTCGTGTGTTCGAACAAATGTTTCCTTTTTAGGACACGGAGTGTGTAGAGACTGTTCAAATTCAAACTGTTCTATAATTCCGAGGGCTTTATCAAGGATGATTTTATTTTTTCGGTTTAATTTCGGTGCGTGTTTTGTTTGTATGTTTTTAGTGCTACAGAGAGGTTTTATCTTCCGAACACAGTTAGCACATTGTGGCCGTGTTCGTAGCTAATATTATTAAGTGTTGACTTTTTCTTTTTTATTATTAAGGCTTCCATTATTTTTAATCATTTTTTACATGTGGATGAGGTTATTATGTTTGCCAAATCGGTCGGGTTTCGATCCGGCTTGAATTCCGTGTGTGGACGACTACACACACACACACACACACACACACACACACACACATATATATATATATATATATATATATATATATATATACGATAGAAACTTTGGTGATTAGAATAATCATTTGTAGAAATCCATCGAGTCTAGAAGAATCTTCATCAAAGCATTGGACTATTTGGGACTCGGACTCATCAGCAGGGCGCATCTGCTACCGAGAATCGAACCCAGACCTTTACGATACAAGGCAAGCGTCATACCCCTGGGCCAACTGGAACTCAATGACGAAGAAGAAACTGACTCGATGTTTTCCGTGGTGATAGTCCTCCAAATATTCGAAAGCCAACGGCTTGTGCCCCAAGAGCCACGTCTTCTTTTCACGAACTGCTCCCTAGAGAGCATTATAAGCTGTATACATATATATATATATATATATATAAATGTTGTGGTAGGATCACCTAATTTGCATGCCGGAGTACCCACCATATAAATATGGTTGGCACCGGGAAGAGAGGAAGGAATCAGAGATTCAACCAGAGACTCTGTGACTGCGACTCAGTCAACACATTCTCCAGGAACGGTCTTACCAGGAATATACAAAGACTATATGTAAATATTGTGTACATTTCTTGTTTCAATACATTTTGTTCTAAGTACATTTTGTGTTGCATTATTATTCCATGCATTAGTCAAGTTTCAACAATAAACAAAACGGACGTCATGTTATACCTTAGGTACCTTTCATCCAAAATTTTTCAAATGTATACGTTGGCAAATTGGAAAACAATTAAAGACATACTCAATATTACGAATGAGGTGGGAAAGTTGGAACGCGATTAAAAAGGGACAAATTTTAATTACAAATAATTAAAATTCAGAAGGGGTTGAAAATAACAAGTTCCAGAAGAGTATAAAAAGGAAAAAAAAAGACACTTACAGTCCCTCCAACAAACGTAAGGAGTGTACAAAATGCTACTTCTGTCTGCACAGGCTAGGCTAGGCTGACGAAATTTTTATATATATATATATATATATATATATATATATATATATATATATATATAATTGTAGATAAATCATTGTCGAACAGAAATAGTTGACTTTCAAAACAGAAACAAAGAATAATTTACATTTCCTAGATATTATATTATGCCGTAATGACAATAACCTAAAACTAAGTGTCCATCTTAAATCGACTAATAAAAATGATCTCATAAATTCCCATTCTGACCATAAAAATAAAATAAAACCCGGAATAATCACCGAATCCTATTTAAGAGCACTGAGAATGTTTAGCCCTCAGTATTTATAGGAAGAGGTGGAATACAGTTTAAATACATTCAAACTCCTCCTTTACTCGAATTATTATACAAAAGGGTCATAACATATTTCAAAATAGAAATATGAACCATTCTAATGATATATATATATATTATTATTATTATTATTATTATTATTATTATTATTCTACCTATGTTATTGTGAAACACACCTATTATATAGTTAATAGACTCTCCCATCTAATATAAGTAGGAGTAGTAATAGAAACGGCAGTCAGTCAGTCAGTCGATGTGAGTCAGTCGCTCAAGTCTTGAACGACAGATCGGTTGAACTTTCTGCCTTCGGGCGGGGAGGAACCCGGAAGAGGCTACGCCGAAGGGCGGATTCTCTTTCGGGGAGGTAAACCGACCCTGAACCCGTTTATACGGGTTCAAATGGGCATATTTTTGGCCGAGCCGACGGGCTCGGAGATCCCACGTTAAACTGGCCTTGTGCCACATGATACACTCGGGGGTGGGTGACTAAATACTAGTCAGTCAGTCGATGTCGGAACACATTTAGTCGAATACGAAAGTATCAGCGACCACAACTAGATTACTCTGCGTAATACCTATTATATCAAGTTCTTGACGTTTTGTACGTCGAACCTATTTTAGGACCGACTTAGTGAAAATACAAGCCTCCACTGCGAAATGACTCCACAACAACCTACGAACTCTATCACAGCTATATTTGAAAAGAATTTAAGTTTAACATAAAATTTGTCATAACTACTTATTAAACAATGAGAGTCAGTTGACATTTATGGGCCGCATAATGAGGAAGGAGGGCTTGGAAAATCTGATACTCATAGGACAGATTGAGGGAAAGTGGAAAGCATAACGTACCATATTTGATGTGCTTGAGCAAACGGGTAGTAGAAGAGGGTTTGGGAGAAATAGCAAAAAGACAAAATTTATTAAGAGATGCAAGGGACAGGAAGATGTGGAGGGACATGACCACCTATATCCTGAAGAGACACGACACATAAAAGAAGAAGAATATTACTAATGCAGTGTACAGTAATGCCTTGAGATACGAGCGTACCGACACAGGCGTTTTTTGAGACACGAGCCTGAGTTCGGCTGATTTTTGCCTGGAGATATGAGATAAAGTTTGAGATACGATCTGAAGTTTAAGATATAAGCTGAAGTTTGAGATATAAACTGAAGATATGAAATTTGAGATATGAACTGAAGTTTGAGATACGAGCTGTAGTTTGAGATATTAACTGAAGTTGAGATACGAGCTGAAGTTTGAGATATGAGCAGGAGTTTGAGATATGAGTCGAAGTTTGAGATACGAGCTGAAGTTTGAGATACGAGCTGAAGTTTGAGATACGAGCTGAAGTTTGAAATACTAGCAGAAGTTTGAGATACGCGCTGAAGTTTGAGATATGAGCTGAAGTTTGAGATATGAGCTGAAGTTTGAGATACGAGCTGAAATTTGATATACGCGCTGAAGTTTGAGATATGAGCTGAAGTTTGAGATATGAGCTGAAGTTTGAGATATAAACTGAAGATATGACATTTGAGATACGAGTTGAAGTTTGAGATATGAACTGAAGTTTGAGATATGAGCAGAAGTTTGAGATACGAGCTGTAGTTTGAGATATTAACTGAAGTTGAGATACGAGCTGAAGTTTGAGATATGAGCAGGAGTTTGAGATATGAGCCGAAGTTTGAGATACCAGCTGAAGTTTGAGATACCAGCTGAAGTTTGAGATATGAACAGAAGTTTGAGATAC